TTGCTTTTTTTCCCTATATATCTAATTTGATAGCTGGGAAAAATATTGCAATATATGGTTACATTGCAATACCGTTATAAATCGTACTGTGACGCAACTATAAGGTTAACCAGCTCTATTTAGCCCAGATTAAATCTGATCCCAGCCTCTATTCTGTACATTGACATGGTAAGGTCGTATTTTCCGGCAATATTTACTTTGTAGTTATCAACGGAGTCAACTAATCGTGATTTCTAATCGTAATTCTGTGATTAAAAACATGGCACTTTTTTGTACAAATACTTTAACCCAATCATTCTAGTCTACATTACTGGGTATTTTTTGTTGTCTCTTTTCAGCACAACCCTTTATTTGACACATTTTTAATTATTTTACATGACTTACCAAACTAAAGCTGGAATCACACCGAGAATTGTTACTGTATTAGTTAAAAACATTTTCCTATTCTATGTTTATAGATTTCTGACACATTTTGATCATATTCCAGATTTCTTTGTTTTAAGTTGGGGCCAAAATGAAAGAAAAAGTTGCCACAGAGTCATCAGGCATGACAGTATCGGAGATAAAGGCTGGGATTTCAGATGTTATAACAGATTTTTTGTTTTTATGCAGGGATTACTAACATAGCTTCTCATGCTAGTTTAACAGGATTTTACTGCTGCACTGTGCTCAGACTTAAATTCAGAACACTTTATCCCTAACAGTCGGTTCTGTTTGGCATCCCACTTGGATACAATGGACAGCAAAGACAAATTTCAATCTACTCATTACAATCTCCCACATTTCCACATCTTCTATAAGCACAGTGTATGCCTAAATATGAAACTGCCCAGATTATCTGCTGAAATCTGAATTGGGGAAACTTCAATGCTTTGATCAAGTAACGGAAATGGAAACCACACCTTTAGATTCTGACCATCGAATGGCAGAGAGCCGCTGACCAGCGTGTAGAGGATTACTCCCAGGCTCCAGACATCCACCTCAGGCCCGTCGTACTTCTTTCCCTGGAAAAGCTCAGGTGCAGCATAGGGTGGCGAGCCACAGAACGTGTCCAGCTTGTTCCCCAGCGTGAACTCGTTGCTGAAGCCGAAATCAGCAATCTTGATGTTGGCGTCGGCGTCCAGCAGAAGGTTCTCCGCCTGAGATAATTCCGAGTGAGAGAACGGTTAGACAGCAGGAGGAGAGCAGAAAAGTAACACATTAAGGACAGCAACGACACATTCAGGATGATGATGGATGAGGGGAATAGGGGGCTGGGAAACAGAGGACAAACGATGAACCAGTAGATAAAAAAGGACAAAGAATTAAGTTGGCAGACAGGGGATGCATGCGCGATGTGACTGATACTGCATGCATATAACAGTGTGTTTCGGCTCCGGTGTTCTGTCAGACCAGCATACCAACAGTCAATATGCATGTGCAAGACATCAGACTTGCGTTTATCCCTTTAGGTTTGTACGAAAAATAAACTTCAAACTACCTCAATGGGCGTGTATCCCTTTGGTCATGTACAAAGAAAACAATTTAAGGTGAGATCACCATTCCCCCCCAAAAAACAAAAAGTAAGTAATTAAATTTTTGTGTGTGACTAAAAGGATACACGCCTTTGAGGTAGTTTAAAGTCTATTTTTCATACAAAACTAAAGGGTTTTGACCATGGGTATGCTCATCTGACAGAACACCGGGTCCGCCCTCTCTGCACTGCAACGAGGACTGCTTTTAGGGACTCCCACACGCTTGTAAAGATTCAAATCTTGCATGAGTTTTCTGAGACTTTGAGTGTTGATATAATTTCTTCCTTTCATCTGATCTTCCTTACCTTCAGATCTCGGTGGACAATGTTCTTTGTGTGGCAGTAGTGGACAGCAGAGACAATCTGTGAGAGACAAACACACAGACCTGAGATCCTGAGCAGGAACAATTAATGGCGGGTGGATGAGAGGGATAAAGATTTCTACCTGTCGAAATTTGGCTCTGGCTTCAACCTCCTTCATTCTCCCATGGGACACGAGGTAGTCAAATACTTCACCTGTGAGGATGAGCATCTGGTTAGGTTATGAAAATATGAGTATCACATAACAGCTTGATTAGATATGACAGTTACACAAAATAAAAATGTTATTAATATTTAAACAGCCATAGCTTCGATCTGTTTTATTGCCCTCATAGAATGGGGGAAGAGATCATCACCAGGGTGGGTCCTGCTTTGTTTTTGGTGGCCTATGCCCTATTATTAATGAACATCCTAGTCAGCATCATTTATAACAGTACCAAGAGCTATGGGCGTCAAGGTGGGCATATTTGGGGCACTTAAATTGGGTCAGCTTTTCTGACTTTGCTTCTGATGCTCATGCCCACCTGTGTTTGTTGGTAGGCATTCAGACACCTGAATTTAGGGTGGGAGAATTGAGGGGCACGCCGACGGTTCTCTAGTTTTAGGGTTGGGTGTTTCGACAGGTGATATCTCATTCCTGGTGGCTGTCGGGCCAGGCCTATGCTTCCTGGCCCTTTGGGGTCCCTACTAGTGGGTGTTGCGCTCCTGGGCCTCGTATCCCTGGGCCTTCATCCAGGTGCCCTTTGGGCATGGTCGTCCACTGGCACAGTCCATGGGCTCACCGCCGCAGCACTTTGGGGTTGGGTCCCTCAGGGACTGGGCCCCTTTGGTGTTTGGCCCCTCGGGGTTGGTCATCCCTATGTCTTCCATCTTTTGTCCATGTGATCTGGTGGGATCTGGATACCTTGGTCCAGGATAACCTCTTTATCGGTTCCGGGCCCTTTGGGGCTAGTGTGGGGCCAACAACAGCTGCTATTAAGCATATTTTCCTTCTGAAGAAGATTTATAAAACTATTCTAAATGAGCATGCCAATGCATTCAAACCCCAGGAATTTGGTTCCATTTGCTCACTGATACCAACTAATACTAAATACTAAGCTGCAGATGCAGATTTAAACCACCCTGAAAATATTGCGCAATCACCATAGAACTTGCCTTTTACACATGGATATCTCTGAGATACCCACTGCTTTAACAGCTTTTTTTTTATGTTACATGGTTGTCTGCTTTCTTTTTGCTGTTGTTATGTTCTTGTTTCTTTCCCTCTTGTCTTATACAGGTGTGGAAGCAAACTTCTAGGAGTTACTGTATATCTTCTGTGTTATCTATTTTTCTGTTTTGATTTGCTCTAAATGGAAAATGCAATTTCCTTCTAAATGCCTCTTCTATTCGATTTTACACCCTATATAATTTTCAATAAAGTTTCATATACAAGTAAGAAAGGTATGTAAAAAAAAAAATACTAAATAAAATAAAAATAATAATAATTATATATATATATATATATATATATATATATATATATATATATATATATATATATATATATATACACATATGTTCTTCCGCTTCTGGAGTCAGGTTGCGGGGGTAGCAGCTTCAGTAGGAAGGCCCAGACACCCCTCTCCACAGCCACTTGGGCCAATTTCTAAGGGAGAGCCCAGACATACTACGGAGAAAACCCATTTCAGCCGCTTGTATCCGGGATCTCGTTCTTTCAGTCATGACCCAAAGCTCATGACCATAGATGAGAATAGGAACGTAGATCGACCGGTAAATCGAGAGCTTTGCTTTTTGGCTCAGCTCTCTCTTCACCACAACAGACCGGTACAGTGCACGCTTCACAGCAGACGCCGCACCAATCGGCCTATCAATCTCCAGCTCCATCTTTCCCATCTTTGTAAACAAGACCCCAAGATACTTAAACTCCTTCACTTGGGGCAGTACATCCTCCCCAAGGCACTCTACCCTTTTCTGGCTCAAGACCATTGTCTCAGATTCGGAGGCACTGATCCTCATCCCGGCTTCTTTACACTTGGCTGCAAACCGCTCCAGTGAGAGCTGTAGATCCGGCCCTGATGAAGCCAATAGAACCACATTATCTGCAAATAACAGAGATTCAATCCTAAGGCCACCAAAACAGATCCCCTCAACACCTTGGCTGAGCCTAGAAATTCTGTCCATAAAAGTTATGCACAGAATTGGTGACAAAGGGCAACCATGGGTCCAACCCTCACTGGAAATGAGTCCGACTTACTGCCGGCAATGCGTCCAGACTCAATGTCCCCCACCTCTCTCGGAACGTGTTCAAAGCTCTGTCGGAGGTAGGAGATAAAGCTCCCTCTCATGGGGGACTCTGCCAGACGGGGGACTCTGCTAGACAGGGGACTCTGCCAGACGTTCCCAGCAAACCCTCACAATACGTTTGGGTGTGTCCTCCCCCACCATCGGAGCCAACTCACCACCAGGTAGTGGTAGGTGGAGAGCTCCGCCCCTCTCTTCACCTGAGTGTCCAAGACATGCAGCCGCAGGTCAGATGAAACAACAACAAAGCCGATCATTGAACTAGGGCTTAGGGTGTCCTGGTGCCAAGAGCACATATGGACACTCTTATGCTTGATCATGGTGTTCGTCATGGACAATCCATGATGAGCATAGAAGTCCAACAACAGAACACCAATCAGGTTCAGGTCAGGTGGACCATTCCTTCCAACTACGCCTCCCCAGGTCTTACTGTCATTGCCCACGTGAGCGATGAAGTGCCCCATATATTATATATATCTATATATAGATATATATCTATATATATCTA